TAAAACAATATTCCTGGTACCTATAATGCCAGCAGACAAAAACCAGAAGGAAGGGTTACCAAACAAAAAGAAAGTGAAAATCATTAAAAATACAGAACTTGTACTGCAAGTACAGAAAGCAGTACACAAAAGCAGTTAAGATAATTCATAATTGTATCAGTCAAGAATGCATGATACTTTAGTTTCTAGAGAATGAATAGATTTGTGTGAAGCAGCATGTGAACAAGAAAACTATTAGCAGGAATCTTTAGGACCTTTTTTTCATAATTAGCAGGAATGCTTAGGACCCTTTTTTCCATTATTATGATGGATTAATAGATAATTTTAAAAATTAATTTTGTTAAAGCACTGTTATCCTCAGAATGTTAGGTTGAAAAGTGTTTATCAATTGATAGGAGCAGTAGTTTACTTTGCTGATAATTTTTTTACCTGCAGGCTGTATTGATATCTCTTTTTTTTTGGTGTAACTATTCAGTATTTTAAAATTATTTTCTTAGAAACCATAGTATCTTTTTCTTTTAAAATATTAATTTTGTGGTTATATTCAAGAGTTTTATCTTTATGTTTGCCTATTTTTCCCTCCTTTTGACTGAAGCCTGGCTAAAGAAAGAAAGCTTCAACCTCTAAGAGTTGGCCAAGCTAATTCAAGTTTTATTTCTCTTCTCTATGGATTTTGTCTGCTGTATTTTTCAGTGAGCCATGCTGACTCCTACTGATTCCATTTTTAGTCTCTTGGTCCTTCTCATGTTTTGAACAGGAATCTGTAATGTGTAATTAAGGGTGTAAGTTCCCTTATGCTGGAGCTGTCTAAAGTTGAGCATCCCCAAGCAACTATTCCCTCAGAAAACATGACTTACGCTCTAAAACAATAATTTTGAAAAGTAATATTATAAACTTATGGGCAACTTCCAAAGGCAAAATATACTTTTTGTTTGATCAGAGATGCAGTCAGTTATTTGTTTCCAAAATTAGTATTGTATGTTAGATTGTGCCTGAATAAAACAGAGTAAAATCTGACAAAATACTTCAGACTATTTACTGAAAGAAGACTAAACAGGATATTGTTCTTCCCTAAATAAGGATAGTGAAATTACCTAGAAATTGGGAAACAGTATAGGAAAAAAGCCCCAAAATATGAGCAGTGGAAAAGTATTTATGATTAGTTTTATTCATAATGGTACCTTAAGAAAAAAAAGTCAAGGTTCCTGCATCACCTTGCAATGTATTTTATTCAATTTCCAGAGAAATTGGTAGCTCTTATCTTGTACAAGCAGTGTTTGGTTCTGAAAGCTTCTGTTCAAGTCAAGGCTTACTGGATCACTAGCAGGATGAGAGGCTTCAGAGAAGATATGAATGAGAGCTGCCTTCTGAGCCTTACAACAAAGGCAGAAAAGCATCCACTGAGCAGCATAATGAGCTTCTTTCCAGAGGTTGTCTCCAAAGTTTGTAGTGTTAATCCTTAGGAAAAGTGCCTGTAAAACTCATTGCTTAGACATTTGAAAATGCCTCCAGACTGCATCTTGCTTGCTTGAAAATAATTAAGTAAAATTAGAGCTTGAATTGTATATTGAAATTTTATTATGTTTTCAGTAATGGAGTTTATTTAAATACTAGCATTTCTAATAAAATTACAAGCTACAAGAAAGATGTAATTTTGTAAGTAAATTTTGGGGTCTGATTTATTTTAAAATATATTTTTTATAATGAAAATGTGAGAGTCTGCTTCTAAGCATCCTTAGTTATCCTAAAGTAATACAGAATAAATTATCGGTTTTACATTAATATTGTTTGCAACCAAAGAATTTTCTTCTAATAACTAGGAGGCCACTGAATCAAGTTTCTTTTGATATTTGAAATTATTCCATATGTGACAAAGAATGAACAGAAAATAGTCGTTTTACTGGCAGCTTGAAGCTTCTTCACTTTTTTCTATCATTGCAAATATTGTTAATCTGAAATACTTGTTAAGGCCTGTCTAGTGAGACTAAGCACTTAGCTCCATATCTGTCTACTCCTTTTTCCTCCCTTCCAAAGGCCAGCTTCAAGGACATGAGTTTCACTACATCCAATTATCCACAGTGGGGTGTGTCACACAACGGAGTATTTTCACATCTACTCAGGCAAACTTAAACCAAACTATCACCGATTATCTACTTCCATAAACCAAGTACATCCTGAATACACAATGGTGCACTAGCTTACTCCAATGGTTATGATATTTTCCAGTTTACATAGTGCCCTCCTGAGTGGTGTATGTCTAGGAACAAAGCAATCAGATTATTGTGTCTTTATGGCTCTAAGGACAGTGGTTATTTTAGCTTGCCACCACATACACCTGAGGTACTTCTGGCCCCTATAGCTCTGACCACTCCCCACTTGCATCACAGACACGTTAAACATGCTGCCCCAGTTCTGTTTATGTTATGATGCAGACATCCATGTGACGTTCTGTGTCTTTTGGACAGAACCGAAATGTGAAATTACCACCATATTTTCATAACAAAATGGGCAGCCATGGAAACTGGTAGAATTGTTACCCTATCCCCAAGTATACACTAGTGTTTCAAGCAGGAATTGTGCAATTCTACAATGGGAACACTTAAACACAGATAGGGAATAGTTGCAGAGGCTCCAGAATTTTGTATCTAAGCAGATGTAGAAACAAATGTGATCCACTTTTCTTGGTGTGGAGAAGCTAACTCTCATTATTAAAAAAAAAAATTATCCATGTGGCATCAGAAACATGTTGAAGAAATAGTTTCAGAGAACGGGTTTATTGCTGAAATGCATGTGCTTACATCTGGTAGTTTTGAGAGCACATATGAGTACGTGAACTACAGAAATATTAGACAGAAATAGACGGTTTTGGACTTGATGGCAGGTTCAAGAATACTAGTTTGAAAAAATTAAAAAGGTGAGTGGCACTAGAGGTACAAAAGAAGCAGTTCTGCATAAAGAAATTTGCACAAGCAAACTACAGCGTATTCAGTTACATTTTCAGTGGGATACAGCTCCCTACCATTAGTTTGGTATTATTTTGACCAACAGTCTGTTGACCACAGTAATATTCTGACTGTGCAAGCCCTGAGAAAAAAGCCACATAATCACACACATAGCAAAGGCTAGTGCAGAGTTCATCTGGCAGATTGGAAGAAAAATAGCCTAAGACCAGGAATACCATTGGAATGTCATCTATGTCACAAAATATACGTGTTTATTGATAGTCTAACACAGTGTACCTGCTCTAAGACAAAACAAAAGTCTTTTTTTATGACAAAGACTTAGCATATTTTTAATCTGCTAAACCAGTTTACTCAAGCAAATGGCAAAAGAAATTAGGGCTCCAAAAGAATTCCAGCACTAGATCATGGAGGCTGATGCTTTCTTGTTTAAATCCAAATACAAAAGCCAATATATTTTTTAGGACATTTGGAGAATTACTTATATTTTCCTTACAGATTGCAGCTTCCATCTTGATTTTTAAACACACGCAATTTTCTTTGTTTAGATCTTTAGATCTTGTTTGTGATCTTTAGATCATAAGATTATTCATATTTTGCTTTCCAAGTGATTTGCTTTTCCTGTTAAATTGAACACAGTATATCTCTCTTCTAATACTCTGACAATTATAATACTGCACAAAAGAGAAATGTTCACTAGTCAAACAAACAACAAAACCACATGTATAGATACCAAGAAAACATAATTTACATATTTTTATGACATGTTCTAAATTTCCTTCTTGTATAATAATTTTGTCATTTAATGGTGTAAGGGCATATTTGAACATGGAATAGAATTGCAATAGAGCTTCCATTACCAACTTTAGCTTCTATTTTTCATTTTTTAATTCAATTCTCTGAATGAATGATTTTTAAATTTTTTAACAATAATGGGATTCCAACAGTAAATTATAAGACAAACTTTGAGTCTAGTGATAGTACAGTATATCAGCTGACAAAAGAATATTGTGAGTTATACAAGTGGATGTGCAAATGTTCTTGTCTCAATAAATTGTCATTTTGCTGCAGAAAACAACAACAACAAAACCCACAGAAAAATCAATGAGCATTCCTCCCTAGCAACAGAGGGGAAAAAATCAGGAGCAGTGTGAAGAGGATGCTGAACAGGCAGTAAGTGACTGATAGCTGTAGTAAACTGAACAGACTGAGCAAAGAGATTGCAGTTTATTTCTGGCTGCAGCACTAATAATGCAAGGCAAAAAAATATGTGGTTTACATTTTAGAAACAAAAACATAAATTAATTTTCACACTTATCCAAATAAACTTTTCAAAAAGGAAAAATTACCAGTCCTTATAATTGCTGTATGCTCTTGTAATTGCCATTAACATATTTGATATTACTATTAAGAGTACCAGTTTAGCAGTTTTCATGGGTAGCATTGTTGAAAAACTAACACACAAAAATGAAGTATTTTAACAGCAGCTGTATAGGATCCTTACACCAAAATTTCCTAAAAAGTAATAGTAAATATGGAAAGCACTATTAGCAGCAAAGGCCCTGTTTGTTATCCCTGTGGCAGGGCTATGATTTGTCACTAACACTTGAGAAAATATTCCCAGGCTGTCAGCTCAAACAGCTTCCTGAGATAAATGCTGTGATACATCCAGAATGTCAAACCACTGGACTGTCCCAAAAAGGAGAAAACCTAGTTAAATCAAAAATGTCCAGTTTTCCTAGTGTAGAGGCTTTACTTCAACAAGAATAAACTAGCAGATATGTTGTAAAAGAGCCTAGCAAAAGAAAACTTACCTGTAAGCAATATTGTGCAAATATTTTCTGAAATTATTCATCTTTATAATTACTCCTGTAAAACTTAAGTGCCATCTACTCAGATTACATGTTGCCTAAGGGCCGATAATGAATGTTAAACTTGCCAAGTTACTATTACAGGACGTGCCTATAAAAGATCATAATTTCTTCAGTGAGGAAACATTCTTCTTTACAACATCTTTACAGTTTTAATACAAACTGGGTATTATGGAGACAATTCTTTTATTGAACAGACAGAAGCAATACGAGAAATTCAGCAAATATTTCCAAAAAACAACTGAAAAAGGGCTTCACATAGGTTGCATTTGTGAAGTTTCAGTAGTAGTGTTCTAATCCCTCTGACTAATCCAGGGCCAATACATACAAGCAAGGTTCCAGAAAGAAACTAAAATGACCTTCTCTTCAAACTACAGAAACTGGTTTTGGAGCTGAAAATGGAAAATAATTGTCATTATCACAAAAGCATATAGACAAGATCTAGCCCAAGAATATTTAACTAGAAACCTTTATCTTATCCCACTTTGTATATCAAGTGCTCATTTCCATGAATGGTGAAAAGGTCTGTGTTAAATCCTCATAATGAATTGAGAGTATTTTTTTATAAAGATAAAAAGCCAAGGATGTTGAACAAATATGAAGAATCCACTGCAAAGTCTTTCAGTTTTGACAGTGTGCTAGAGCATCACAAATAGATTTCCTAGTAAAAATCCTGTATCCCTCTTCTAGCACATCAGCACAGAAATGTCCACAGCAGAAAGGTTCCCCTCTAGCACAGGTCAGTGCCCCAGTCTGGCAGAAGAGCAGTGTTCCTTAGGTGCTATTTGCCAGCAGCAGAGGGCTCCATGTGTGCTGAGACCATGGAAACAACCACGTCCTGACGCTGCTATTGACTGAAACTTGGGACATAGGAGAGAAATTAACTAATCTTTCATAGTCATGAGACTTTTTGAAGAACTGAAAAAAAAAGAAAGAAGCTTTAAAAAAAGATTTTGACTGAAGACATCCATCAAACAATAAAGAGGAAAACATGCTAAAGGGGAGAATGAATGAGATCAAGCTGCAGAAATGAAGCTGACATAGTAAGAACTGACAATAGCAAGAAACTCAGTATTTTAGGGGGGTTTTATACACACAAAAAATTATAATGATTTGAAAATTAAAAAGAAGCACTCAGTTAAATTATTAATGTTGTTAAACTTAACAAATATTAAAAGCAGAATTTCCAGTTAAGACACAATATAAGAAATTCTAAAGCTCCATTGACATAAAAATACCATAAAGAGTTTGAACTAACTAAAAAACTGAAGTAAAGCATTTTTACTAAGTCTTCTTTTCCTGCTAAATTCACACTTCAAGATGTAAAAATCTGTATTTTAGTTTATGATCTCCTGTACATCATAGCATATGAAATTTCACCCAGTAATTCCTATACTGAAGCAAGTAACTTTAATCTTCATTAACTTCAGACCAAGTGAATTTGTCATATATTTACAAACCCATCTACCTTACTCTTCAAATTAAGAAATGTTTAGAGGCCTATATTTTCACCTTGTGAGATATCACCGGATCTATTTTTTGAGTTAAACAGGAAGAGTCCTCTATATGCCTCATTGTTTCCAGCCTTTGAACATTTTCTGCAGATTTTCATTCTCAAAAACATATTACTTTCACTTCTATGAACCTACCACTCAAACACTGCAGTCCCTTCCATTCCCTTATCCTGTTCACCAGAATACCACAGAATGCAAGAGCACCACAGCACCGAACCTAATCAGAAGAGGAAGGCAAAAAAGGGCTAAGAGGTGGAGCAGTAAGTATAAACAAAGGAGTAGGTGACAGGGCACGTGAAAAATGCCACACACAGGCTCCAGATTAATTGGTTGGGATTTTATGTACATCAGAAAATCAAATAGGGTCTGTGGTAAACAGATTTGCACATGGAAATTCATTAATATTGATGCTATAAAAAAAAAAAAATCCCTCTATTCCTCACTATTTCACATTAGATATCTAAGGATCACAATGCCAAAGCACTGCCCTGGGAGTTCATATTGACTTGTCCATTATAATCTCTATACTCCTTTAAGAGTAACAGAAGTATTCTTGAAAACTTATAAATCTTGCTTGTGTTCCTTGTTCTAGGTGTATGACTTTGCAAATGTCAGTACTAAACTGCATTTCTGAGTGAATAAAAGTTACTAAACAGCCTAGATTACTCTGAAGGACTATGCTGGCATCATTGCTACTTGCTATTCATCAGTCTTTGCATCATTCATGCTTGTTTTTTTAGACTGATCTTTGATTATACTCCATTGATAAAACTGTTTGAAAACATGAACATTTAGTGTTACAGCCATGCAGTTACTTTTATGCCAATCTTGTCATCTTATCAAAGCATTAAGTCAGCTTTCTTGGCACTAGCTGTTTTCCCTAGAACTACATTGATTTGCATTACTTATGTTCTTTTCCTTTAACTATTTTTTTTAAAAATCTGCTTAGTCATGTATGAGTTTTCTATTCGATGACAGTCTAACTCAGTGATGGTCAACTCACTTCACGTTTTTACACACTGGCATTAGCACAGCCTTCAGAAACCTCTACACAAAAGGCTTCAGTAAATATCAGCAGATCAAAGATCTAACCAGTAGAACCTTAAACGTATACATTAACTGTATACATATTGACAAGTAATAGACATGACATCAAGATCTATATAAATTCCCCATTCCACTAAAAATTAAAATAGGAGTAGTCCACATAGGCACAATGAAACAACATCCAACTGAACAAATTCAGATTCTCACATTTGTTTCGAGTATAAAATTGTTGGTGGGTTTTTGCCCTAATGTTACGTTACAAAAGACCCAGTCAAACATTAGGAACAACTGACTGATTTTTAGAGGGAGTAAAGAAGCTAAGTGTCTGCAAAAGATGAGGATATTAACAACCAGTACTTTTATTTAGTCTTTGAGTAGTATTTTTATAAGTTGTTATATAAAGATATATATTTAAAATTTAAAAGTAACATTTCAAAGTTTAACTTCCATGAATCCCATAGAAGCAGCATTCTCAACTCTAAAAACGTACTCTCTAAAAAAGAACATATATAGTAGCAATGAATTAAAACCACTTCAGTGATACATTGCCTTGGTGTGACAATGTTGAAAACTACTTCCTGTTCTGGTCCCTCTGACTAAAAAATAATATAATAGAACTTTTATGAAGTACAGAAAGGTTGACAAATATGACCAGAAGTAAAAAACTTCCTTAATTATATTAATATTCCCCTTCTTTACAAAAATGGTTAGCAAAGCATATAAAATATTTACACTTTTACATAAAGAGCGTGAATAAAGATTTTTTTTCACTATTTTCACTATCCTTATGAGAAAATAAAGCAATCATAAGGTATATTTGGACTTCTGAAACATTGGAATTATTTAAATTGACTGCTTTACTGCACAACTGCTTATTAAAACTTTCAAAAACTCTTGAGCATAAACTAGGTAAGGACATTCAGTCCATACCCACATTTTGTTTTTCATTCCCACTGCTTCAAAAATGTATTCAAGCTTTTTCCTATTATAGCCTCTTATCATAAAACTTGTATTAATCTTCCTAATACCACAAGATGGTCATGATCACATCTTTGCTTCTCATATTGGTAGTATCAGTCTCTTCTGATTATACCCCATAGATTTCTCTTTTCAAGCATCTATTTCTTTCTTATATTTAAAGTTCCTTAGCAGTGTCACCTCTGCTTCCTCAGTCTGCTTTTTTCATCAGTTCATTAACTGGAACCTTGTAAATATCCACTTGTCTCTCTTTCTCCTACACTTACCTCCGATTGTGCCCTATATTATATGAAATAGGAGACTACTGCAGTCTCCAAGTATCTCTTGCCATCCCATATCATAAAATACAGAAACTGCATAGTAAGTGACAATCAGTATGACATAATTAATCACAATTAGGGGAACCAGATAGGGTCAATCTAATACAAATTATTAATATATCATTTAAATGATCCAGGCATTCTTTACTCAAGAAGAAAAAAAATCCTTTTAGACCAGAAGTTTTCAGAGCTAAATCCTTTCTTCTTTGGGTATATAATTTCAGAGAAACTGCCAGACTTATTTTCAGTGTAAAGTATTGTGCTAGAACACTCAAAGGATGCTTCAGCAGAAAGTAATTTGATTTTAAAATCCTGCTCAGTTTATTGTGCAATGAAGCAGTAAACAAAACCTTGCATTGTTGGAGGAAAAAATCCCAAACACAAAAACCAAACAGCATGGATTAAAGCGGGTAAAGAGCTGTTTAATCACAAAACTATGATTCAGAGCAAATTTCCTGACACTCTAATAATGGTAGAAGTTATGTTGACTTTATTTCTTTATTCCCAAAACCTTCCTATCATTGCAACCACGGAAAAGTAAACAATATTCTAAGCACCCATAAACCTTGAGATCTTATTTTATAGCATTATGAGCACATTTTCAAGAAATTTTATAGAGACGTGGAAACAGCTATGAGTTCACCAGACACGTGCTCCAAGCCAGTAAATACTAACACAGTGTAAATAAATACAGCCCAGATCTATTTATAGCCCAGAGAAGCTAAGTACATTATCCTAGCAGAGACATGGCTCCTGGTTAGAAATTACCTTATGGCCTCCTGAAGCCAGGTGGAGTGAAAGTTAGCATAGACATGTTCTAAGTAGCACATCGCTCACTTCCTCTGAACAAGCTTATGCAGGTTCTACAAACACAGGACATTTGGGCAGAATCAAAACCCAGCTATGCCTTTGTACAGGGCAATAGTAATTTGAGGAGACTCACATGGGGCTGTTTATTTTTTATATAAAATCCAACTTCTGCAAGCTCTTGTAATCTGTACAGCAGCAATAAAATACCATGCAGAAAAAAACGCTCAACTAGTTAAATACAACCAGATCAGTTTCAGAAGAACACAAGCTAAAAATAGGCTGTTATTTCATAAAGCTGGCAGTGACCCACATTGAGGTGTTTCCCGGGTTGCCGGGGTCCAGCCAGGGAGCGCCGGCGATTCCGCTATCCCCGAGGCACGGCAGCGATTCCAGCGGCGCTTCCCACCGCCGGCCGCGCCTCCTGCCGCCGGCCTGCCGGGACCCCCGTGCCCGGGAGGCGCTTCCCAGCAGCGAGGGCGCGAGGCCGAGCGAGCCCCGCTGGTTCTCACACCGCCTCTGGCCTACGGGCTGAGCTCCCATCTGCCACACCAGAATCACAGCTTCTATCCCGACTTAAAACACACAGGGTAATCTGCGAGCGGAGCGCCGTAAGAGCTTCCCGTCGGTATTAAACCCGCCAGAGCGGTTTTGCAGCCCGCTCTGGGCGAAGGGCCCGACGGATTAACACCCTCGCGGGAGCAGCTCTCCCTCCTCTGTGCCACGGCGGGCACGGGGCGGCGCAGCGCCAGCCGGCCGCCCCGCCCGGCGGCGCGGGGAAGCGTCTGGAACGCTCCGTCCCGGGGGACCGAGGCTCGCGCCACGCGCTCCCCGGCGGGGCCAGCGGCGGGAGCGGGCGGGGCGCGCGCGGGCTGTCCCGGCGCGGCCCCGAGCGGCGCTCCCCGCGCCGGCCCCATTCACCAACCGGTTCCCGCCGGCCGCCTCCGCCTCTCGCGCCCGCCCGCCCCGCCTGCGCCGCGCCCCCCGCGGCCTCGCGCCCGCCCCAGACGCGCCGATGGCGCCGTTGATTGGGTGGGCGCGACGCCCGTCAGTGACGCGCGCGGGGGGCGGGGCCCGGGGCGCTCGTGCGGGAGGCGGCGCCGAGAGTCGCTCCTGGTGCAGCCGCGTCCGCCCGGCGCCGCCCGCAGAGCCGCCCGCTCGCCGCAGCCGCTGTATGGTCCTTCCCCGCGCCGCCGCCGAACCCCCGCCGGCAGCTCCGCGGCCTCCAGCGCCTCCTCCTCTTCCTCCTCCTGGTTCTGCTCCTCCTGCCCCCGGCGGTGGCGCCCGCACCCCGGCTGTATGATCAGGCTACAGTCTTCAATGAGTAACCATATTCCTGTGAGTGCCGCTCGCCCGCGCCCCCCGCCCTGGCCCCTCGCCCCGCTGGCCTTTCGGCCACCGCGCCTCTCCCCCATCTCCTCCATGTTGTCTCTTTGTTCTGTCGCTCGGGCCGCGCCGGCTGCGGGCGGCTTCTCGAAGCGCCGGGCTGCGGCTCCCGTCGGGCGGGCCGCTGGGGAGCCGAGCCCGCCCGGCTGCGGCACGGTCCGGCCTCCCTGCCCGCCGGCGCCCCTCTCCTGCTCCCGCCTGCCGGCGCCCCTCTTCCCTCCTCCGCCGAGAAGGGAGGAGGTGGCGACCTCCCCGCGGCTCCTGGGCGGCCCGGCCCGGGCACAAAGCCGCTTTGTGCGCTCGGCTGCCGCTCGCCCCGCCCGCCAGCCCGGCCTTGTCCCGCCGGGCGCTGTGCGGCGGGGTCCGCCGGGCCGGGCCGGGCCGCGCGCCGGGAAGGGCAGCGCCTCCGCGCCCGGGGCCGCGCCGGGAGCCCCCTGCCGGGGGAAGCCGAGCCGGGCGGCGGCTCCGGGGCACAAGATGGCTCCGCGTCGGGAGCCTGATCGAGGCGTGATGCGAACCCGTGACCGCCGCAGTCGGGGCGACGGCCCGGCCCGGCCCGTGGGGCGCTGTCACGGCCGGGACAGTGTCTCCGCACCGAGGACAGGTTGGGGCAGCCAGGCCGGGAGCCCGGCGCCCCGCGGCGGCGGGACGGCCGTAGCCCGGGGCTGTCCGGGCGAGCCGGGGCTTGCCCGTGGACGGCGGGCTGCCAGGCTCGGCTGCCGCGGCTGGCGCTCATCCCCTGCCGCGGCCCCACGTGCGCGGCTGCGGCCGGGGCGAAGGCGGCTGGGCGGCTGCTTTGTCTCAGCCGTACTCGGGTGGGGAGTCAGTGCCGGCTGCGAGCGAGGACGTGAGTCCTTTCCAAAATGAGCTCTATGCAGTAGAGGTGGGGTATGCCCGAACTCGGGTGTGCAGCCGGCATTGTTCGGCCGGAAAAGTCCGCAGACGAGTCATTGAGTACATGTTGAAGCGGATGTTTCTGTAACAATCTGCCTGAAACCTCAAAAGCTCGCGAATACGGTCAAATACCTTAATTTTGACCGAAACTGCTTTCAAGACCTTGCAATCTCTTTTCAAGGAAGGCATTTCGTTCTGGAGCTGGATCACAATTCAGCTTTGGAAGATTTCGCTTGCTGCCTTTTGGTTTGTTTTCCTTTTTTGACTCACCTAGTAGTCTCGGTGCCTGTGCTGCATAACATCTGTGACTATAGGGCACAGTGTGTACTTAAGCAGAAAAGAATCAAACAAGGCACAGCTTGCTGGTGGTAGTATGCCGTCCAAAAGCAGGGAAGCAAGAAAGACAAAGAATTAACAAAATCAAGTTGTCTACGACAACAGAAGCAGGATTGTTCGCTCACTGTTAGCCAGCTATGCACATTGCAAGTGTTATGAGCTGGCAATTGTACAGTTTGGGTGGCATGAAGGTCCTGTAATCTGGTGTTTCTTATTTCTGCTGGAGACAACTTTCCAATATGTCTACCTGCATCTGCTGAGTCTTTTGAAAGCAGTGACTCAGAAGTATGAACCCTATCTCTTTGTAATCTTATAAAATTGCCAAATCAGGAAACCTGAAGATTACACTTAAATGCCAGCTCATATAATTCCATTGATGGAAAAGCAAAGGGTTTTGAAATTGTCTTAACAAAACAGAGTCGTTTCAGGTAGAAAATGTGGAGGAGGTAATACAGAAATTGCACAGCCGTGAGAGGAAATATGAGAATGAGAAATAAAAATGTGTGATAGATATAACAAAAGCCAAGGCAACAGGATGTCATTGTCTTACTGAAACTAAATGTCAGTAAGACAGTAAATAAATAGAAGTTAGTCTTATCTAAAAACTTCTGTTAAGTGAAACTTTCCTGTTCTGACAAAATACATGCCACATAAGAATGCCGGATCTGTCCCAGCGTGTAGGCTGACTGTAAGCAATCACTTGTTTTAAACATTAACCAGAAGACCCAGATAAGAGTATGACTGAACCGAAAACAACAGATTGTCACCTTCTTCAAAAAATTAAAACTCACTCTATTGGGTCAATATAAGAAATAATTCTTTGTTAAATTGAAGTCCTTACTACTTTCTTCACAGTTGCAACTTTCTGCTAGGCATTCATTACTTAGTTAAACTTGATGAAATACATGGAGACATTTATTGCTGTATGTGCTATATTTCTCATGTTATTGCTTAAAACATAATAAAATCGTTTTTTTGACAGGTTTTTTGTAGTTTGCTGTTGAAGTCACAGGGTTAAGTCATTTGGAAATTCCTTGCTTTTAGAAACTCAGGAGGAAGTGCTAGACAAGGAGATGGATTAGTTTCTGTGATGTCTTAATTTTTTCCAATACCTGTTAAGGCTTCTTTGCATATTGTTTTGGTGGTCCAAGCAAAAAAACTTTGAACCAGATCACATGGTCTTGGTTTCATCATCTCTAAAAGTTGCATTGACTTGTTATGCAGGAAGTTTTGAGATAATTTTTTCTTCCCACTTCTTGAACCACAAGAATACGCTTCTGGCATAGAGCATGTCGCAACAAATTTATGATAAAACTTTGGATTCTCCCTTCCCATTGGTGATATATGAATCTGTTTGCATAGGCAATGGGTCACTTTCCATGGTCTAAAATGGACAGTGTTATCACAGGATATCATAAGGGCAGGCAATTATTTGCCCAGTAGATAGGAGGTGCATCTTGTCAAGAGTACCTTGTGAAGGTGTGCTTCTACCTTGTGTTATGGCTTTGCAGTTTGTACCCCCTACCCTCTCACTCTTCACTGTCTGCTTTGGCAGTTGCTGCTGATGCCTTGAATAGTAAGAAGCTGGAGGTATTTGTCATTCTTTTTGTTGGGTAGTAAGTTAGAACAATGAGCTTCCTTGCAGGTGTCAAATTGTGAAACTTCGTTTATTTTAATTTTCTAGTGTTAGTCCTGTGGTTTCAGTAGGTGAGTGTGTGTAAGGTCTTGACTTAAGAGATTGTGAGACCACATAATTGGTTCTGGGTATAAATGTTTTCAGTCTGTGAGCAAGTGGATTGAGCAACCATGAACCATCTTGCATATGTTCTGAAGATAAAGTGTCACATAACTGTGTTAAGAAGTGCTTTTGTTTGCATGCTTTTCAAGATGCTACTGAGTTGTGAACCAGAGTGTCAACAGCATAGAATAATGTTGTATCTGTCTGCTTTCCCCATGTCAATAATGATCTAATAGATTACTTTTGTAAATCATTTTTTCAGGCATGAGTGACTGTTTCAAACTCCAAATAAACAGCCATGTGAAACTACTTGTCAGTGATGACGGCTCTGTCCCAGAGAAGGGCATGAATTAAAGCCTTCCTTTTCAAAATGCCTTCCTCCTGCTTGAACAGACTATTCTCTAACTTCTGTCTTGAGTTGTAATGGATCATGCAATCATAATTAATGCAGCTATAATGGACAGGTCACCTTCTCTCAATAGGGGGTCTTGGCATATTAACCCTAGTTTTGTTTTCCAAATTTTTTTGGTGGCTCTGCCAGTCTAAATGTTGGACTTTCTGTTGAGATGGAAATTGCTACTTTTTCCAAAATCCTTCAGTGTTAAATTTTCTCGAGGAAAATTTATATATAAATTGAAAAAAATACAGTGATTCAACATACCTAACTTGATGGTACAAACAATGAATTGGTGTAACTCTTAAGAGTCTTCTGCCTTCAACACTACGTGTTTGAATTTCACTTATGCAACTTTTTGCTTTCATGCACTGTTTTGACTCTTTTGATAGCTTACTACCTAAACTGTATGAGACAATATAATATGAGCTTTTGAAAGCTCATGACATCGTTTGAGTTCCCTCAAAGCCCGAGATCATCATAATTACTGCAACACTATTTTCGTAGCTGATTTCTCATCTCCCCAGTCTTTTTGCTGAAGTTGGGTCAAGCCTTGTACTCTGGCTTAACTGCATAACAGATACAGTATGCCCATGTACTACTCATCTTTCATTTTCATTTGACTCCCAGAACAGAATGAAGCTAGGTTGGCAAAGCTGTCTTGGGATAGTACAATGTGTTTCTGCCTAAAGGTTGGTCTGCCTGTGAAACTTTCCTGCTAGTATTGGTGAGAAGTGATGGCATTCACCTCAAAGGAAACT